GTATTTACTGTCACTCGATTAATACAAAATTTTACAACATGCATGAAAGCATTTGAAAAAATTTATTTTTTTTTTTGACCTATCGCAAATTATGAAAATTATTTTGAAAATGAACATGGGGAATAACTGAAAGTTTTGTTGTATGTGCTTGTTATTAATTAAAATGAACACCGACAGCAGTAAATAATACAGGTAGGTTTTGTTTTATGCTCAGGTGATATTTTGTAAGAAAAAGTTTGCCGATTGTTTTAGCACACAGGCAAAAGAAAGTAGAAGAAAGTAGTTAGAATCGTTAAAGGAATTAAGATATTCAAAGTTTAAAGTTTGGGGTCTATGTGTAAAACACATGGCGCTAAAATTGTAATAACATGTAGTTATATAATATCAAATCATGCAATCTTCCATGTTTGGAAAACAATTGATCTGTTAATCAGACTGATGGCAAGTATACTTAAATTATATAACCCTCGCTTGATTTACCAGGAACTTATCATTGTCATAGCTGCGTATACATGTTTTCTCGGTGATAACGCAAAAATAAGACATTAAATACAGTAAATGAAAATAAATTATAACTCCGTTTAAAATCCATCTTTTATTTTATTTTGATTGGTTCTAATTATCCTACAGTATTTTTTCACTGTAATGTACAGAAGTTGAAGTTAATATTTTCTCAAATTTTCTGTATAATATCATGACTTTATATGTTGCTATAGCATTTCACATGGAAATATAATAAAAAACTTATTCTATCTGGAAATTATTGAAACTATGAATTTCAGGACATGTTTGATAAACACATTCTTGCACTTTCACAAGGTAAACTTTATCCTTAATACTTAAGAAAAGTAGAAATTTTGTTGTGTATTAATGAAAAATATTAAAACTATAATCCAGAAAATTCAGAGTAAAAATGCAAGAAAGAAAAACCAACTCACCAGTATTATCAGTCCTTGCTCAGTGATGTGTGCAGAGTTTAACAAATTGAACACACCCGGTGAAACATGAACTGTTTTTGTAAACAGGGCACAAGCTCTGTTATTTTTAATGTTTACGTTTCACTGCATGTGTAATAATGATACAAATTAATATAGCCCTCTCATGAGATCGATCCATAGATACATGTATATGGATTTCACAGAAAATATCGACAGAGCACGTAGTGCGAGGTCAGTATGCTTTTCTGTGAAGTCAATATATCTATGGATTGACCAAATGAAAGGGCTACATTTGTTATATTATTTTTTCTAGAAATTTTAAATATTGGGAACAAGGCACAAGTTTTCTTTCTTGTCCTTTTTTTTAACACATAGAGACTATAGATCAAAATAAATTAAGCTGTTTAATGTAATTGTGTTTCCTTTATACTAATCGAGTAATTTAGGGAATTTACTTGTTTAGCTACATTTGTTTTTTTTATGTTTTGTGTTGATTTATGAAAATCATATCTGATATGTGTTAATATAGAGTAGATCCTTATTCAAAGCATTGTTCTGTTTCACCAGTTATTACAGAACATTACAATTATAAATAAAGGAGTTGAAGTATGATTATTTCCCCAGAAACATCAAGTTATACACTGAATTAGCTGTGGTGAATTCAGCACTGTTATTGTTTTACTGAAGATTACATGTATCTCCATTTTTAAAAACATCAAGATGATATGCATTTCAAAATCTTTAGATAGTAATGCAAGTCAAAATGCTCTTATATACTTGATCATGTGATTAAGTTTGAGCCAATCAGAGAACTGGAATAAATGAGAAAAATAATATTGGAATTTATCATCATGTTGCATTATGGGATATCCCTTTGCACTGAGAATATTATATGTTCATGCATATGTATGCAAATCACATGAACAGATGATAGGAATGTGTACCAGGTACATGTTCAGTTGAATCTTGGCATCTCAAACACCATTATCTCTAATACCATGAATATGTCAAGGTTATTTGGAAGTCCCAACCCCTTATTCTTTAATTATTTTACCTTAAATATTTCGAATCCTTGGATATCTCGAAGTTTTTTCTCTACCATTTAGTTCGAGATAACGAGATTTGACTGTACATTCACTGTACATGCTCACTTGAACAGGATTTTTTTTTCACTTGTTAGATCTGATAAGTGTATGTGAGTTTGCAAGTTTTATCATATCATTGTAAATGCCTCTTACTAATACATTAATTTTCAGACTTTATTTATGTACTGTCTTTGTTTTAATTGTTTAAATAATTTTTTTTTTTAATAAATAATTCAATTATTTCAGATCATGGATGATTTGATGGAAATTGACCGACTCACTGCCCATTTCTGATTTTCCGAACCAATATCATTGACTTGATCTCGCACAAGTGAAAGTGACTTGAGTTTGATACAATTTTGAATGGATCATCTTGCTTTGGTACAAAGCTCATGAGCTGGTGTAGCCAAAGGAAAAGTGTTGTGCTATATTTTGAACATTTTCATACTGGAAGAGCCTAGCTCTACAATGTAGTCAAAGACATCAAAATATAAAAGATGGGTTTTAAGAAATAGGCTCTGAAAAGCCATTACATAAAAGCATGTACATTTAGGAATAAAGATTTCATCCTCATTTATTGTTTATGAATCATTGTCGTCTTTGTTAAATGATAATAAAAACAACTTATAACAGAAAATGGGTTTTTTAAATCTGTAATTACAAAATTCCATCCTATATACACTGTACAGACTACAGAATGTTTTGCTTGTTTTCAGAAATATATTTCTAAGGGGACTTTGTAGTACTGTGAATGGTGCTCTCAAATTGATAGAGGTTGAATATTGAATTTATTTCGCGAGTGGGCAAAGGCCATAAGTGCTGAGTACAGGTCTAAATTTGTAGCCCTTCACTAGCAAGTTGTTCTCAATATGAATGAAAAATTCTTGAAAGGGACGTTAAACAACAAACCAACAAATAAATCTTTCTCTGGATTGCTGTCATTTGAAAGCATTGTAGTACATGTACATGACTTTGAACTATATACTTACCAATCTTATACCTGTTACTGTAAATCTTATATGATGTCAAACAATAACAGGCATAAGGAGTGAGACTAAAAACCACCAAAATTAATCTTTAAAAATCTTTTTAATTCCTGGACACCAAGCAGTCAAATTGTTGGCATGATTATAACAAGCAATGCGTGAAAAAAAAACTGTGGCCTCAGGGTGAGGTGTTTTGGATTGAGGAGGGGCTTTGTTGATTATATTGTGAAAATAATGCAGTAATGCTTTGTAAATCTCTTCTCCTGGGTTTTAGCAGATAAACTAAGTGCATTGTAATGAAGAGCAAGGGTGCCTCTTTCAAAATTGTGAAATTCATGGCCCTGGATCAGGGGTTTTGGTGTTAGGGAGGGACTCTATTAATCATATACTGAAATGCATGAATTTTTAAAAATCTTCTCTGTCCATTGGTATTAAGTAGACAAAATAATTGTATGGTTATGATGAGCAAGGATTCCTCTTTTAAAATTGGGAAATTCATGGCCCCAGGGTTAGAGGTTTTAGTGTCAGGGCAGGGCTCTATTGAACATATAGTGATATGCATATTCAAATTTTTAACTATCTTCTCCTCTGGTCCTGTGTATTTAGCAGACAAACTAATTGCATGGATATGATGAACATGGATGCCTCTTCCAAAATTGTGAAATCCATGGGCCCGGGAAGGGGTATGGGTTTTAGGGCAGGTCTCTATTGATTATATAGTGAAAATATATCAAAGCTGTATATACATTGTAGTATACTTTTGATAAGTTCAGATAACCAAAATTAACAAGATATTGTTATTTATTTCATTATTTTATATAATGATAGGACTTTTCTGTAAATTACAAATTCAAATTTAAATCAATTTTGTTTCAAATATATCTAAAATTTAAAATAACAACTGATTTATTTACCAACTCAAAAAAAGAAGAAGATTTTTTTCTGATATTTTTAAACACGAGTAAAAATACATGTATTAAACAATTCTGTCTCACAGTGAAATAAATTCCATATTCAACTACAAAACATTGAAATTTTTGTTTCAGTTTATTATATTTTCTTTTGATTTTTCCTTTGCCTCTGTCTTCGTAACTCAGTATCATAGGTTGTGTTGTCATTAAGCAGTTTCGAGACATCATAACAAAGTGATTGTGAGACTGAATATACTAAACATGGAGTGCCGTTTTAGCCTCTGTCATGATGATTTTTTACAACAGCTGGGCTACCGAGTATTTTTTATAACACTTTACGGGAAGACAAGGAAAATCTAGAGTTTTGATATTTTTTGGCAAAAAAGTATTAATAATTCTACAGTATTTCACTATTAAAAATGTAATAAATAGGATATTTAATGTTTTATAGTTGGATATGGAATTTCTGAAAGGGACAAGATTTTCAAAATATTTTCACAAGTTAAAAGTACATGTATATCCAACTACAAACATTTACTGTTGTTACATTTTCTTTGATTTGCCTTTGTCTTTCGTAATGCAGTGCCTTGGACTGTGATGACAGATGTCATAGCTGAGATTGAAAACTGTAAATATAAATACCAACAAGGTAGTTTCAGTGTGTGTCAGGGTGGTTTGGTTTCTCTTCTACCCTATAAAAGGGGATATTTTCTTTGTAAAACTTTTTTAAAGGGAATGACAATCTCAAGTTTTGCTGCACTCTTGATATTTTCACAGTGAAAAATATCAATTTTCTACAAACGATAAATTACAGGATTTTACTGTACAGTTGAAAATGCAGAGCTAATGAAACAAAGATGTCTAGTTTCACCTAGATCCCCCTATTACCCGGTGCATGTGAATTAAATATACAGACATTTCAAAATATGTACATACATGTACTTTGGAGAGTACTGTGCATGTTGTTCATTAGAGGAATCTTTCAATTCTCCATGATTATGGATCAAACTGCATTGCAACAGTACTAAAATAAAGAGCACATTCTTCTAATTTATGAAGAAAAAAAAAGAATCCTTAAAGTGTCAATTACTAGATAATTTATTTTAAATTAAAACAAATTCAATATGTAACACCTCAGTAAAAAATCTACATTAACAAATATACATAAATCTCAAAAAATTTCTGTGTTGCACGCTTATTGTTTGCTTTAACTAACAACCTTTTTGGGAAAAAACAGATATACATGTATTTGATACCAGAAGTGGAGTAAAACTTCTAACCTGTACTTAAAAAATAACATCAATTAACTGTCAAAATTAACTATATTTAAATACATCATGGTATATAAATATACATGTACAATATTTGAGGACATTTTGTATATTTTAATATACACATGTAATATACATCAATATTTGAGGACAAGTCACACATTTTATAAATATATATATTTTAATGTGCAGGGACAAGTCATTTTGATCTGTTATTGACAGATTTCTTCTAATTTATGGGCAAATTAAGTTTATTTTTTCCTATAGAGACTGTAGACTTTGGCAATTCTTCTCCAATTAAAACTTGTTACCGGCAAGTGCTATTACCCACTTTGGAAGCCGGACCCAGTTTGGTAGGTACCCAGCACCAGGGATTTGGTTTACTTGGCGCATGCTTGGAATTGTCCGACCTAAAAGCATAGATCAAAAGGATAAAATTTATTTATCATTATATACATGTACATGCATTTTAATTTAGCCAACGAATGCAAGGGAGAGTATATTCCCATTTCCTTAGCAAATAAAACTACATACATGTATAGATATATAAGGTAAAATTGAGTATTTTTATTTTGTGAGTTAAGCTTTTAGCAAAATTACACACTAATAAATTCCTAGTGATTATTTGGAAATCTACGGTATGAAAGATTCATTTAAGGAATAACTGTCTTATTTTTTGGATTCATGATGTGATCAATCGAGTGGTTTGCGTGATAATTTGCATAAACGCCGAAGGCCGCAAGCCAATCAATTGATCATCGTCATGAATCCAAAAAATCTGACAGTTATTCCTTATATTTACATGCTCCTGATTCTGCAAATTCCCGTGCTAATAGCCCCGCTTCTGTCTCTATTTGTCACACCCCGCACGTGATTTTTTTTAACCGCGCCTATCGATGAACCAGTAGATTTATGTAGAAATAAAGTATTTTTACAATTTGTAATTTTATCTCGGACAAAGACATTGGAAATGTAAATATTAAAATCATATTTTTGAAGATGCTAGTACATGTATATGACATCAAGAAGATTTTTTTTACAAAATCATTTTATGTCTTGCCTAATGAAAATTAACAGTATTACATGTAGTACTACATGTATGTCCATGGATGCAATGTCAATATATGCATCTTATTAAAGTAATTTTTTACTGTAATTATTGTACTTGCAATGCAGAGAGTCATGGAAACTACATGTATACATACCATCAATGTCCTTTATCCCATATTCCCTTGCTAGCTCTGCCGTCATCAAAACGTGACCAGATTTTGCCATTATATTGGGGTCTGTAATTCAGTTTTCAAAAGAACAGAATATTTAGTGAGAGTCAACCTTTCCATCTACAATTCACAAAGTAATTTTAGAAAACAAAATTTATTGTGGAAGTCATGATTCATGATTTCAACAGATAGTCCAAAATTTGGAGAGATTAAATTCTCTTCTGAATAACATAATTAAACCCGTCATTTTATATTGTACCATCATTGTACATAAAAATTATAACATAGCGTTGACCGACCTTGTGCTAAATGCACAATGCATTTCCCTGAAAACTCTGTAGACTCTGCATTTTGTAACATTTCTTTCATCTTATTTTTATCAATTTTGATCTGAAAGAAAATTTTTGAAGATAAAATTCTCTGAACAGAAAATTATAAAACCATTCTGGAAAATTTTTAGTAAAAATAAAATTAAAGTATGAACAGGTACTTGTGGTGTCATGAATAGACCAGAAAAGCTCCATAATCTCTTGTAAAATTTAGTTGGTGTCTTATTGAACAAAAAGATTTGATATGATACAATATTTTATAATACAATATGCGATATATTGGAGATTTTATAAATTCTATTGAAAAGGTCTTCTGAATCATTTAATGCATAAATTTTATAAGAGCTACAGGTGTGTTTTGATAATCATTTTGTAGTTCTTGTCTAACTATCATTACAAAATAGAGAAAATACACTTTTAACGGTTGTAAAACCAACAAGTTGAAGAATAGTGGTCTAATGTGTAATTCAATAAATTTAATATTTAAAATGTGCAGTCTGCTTAATGTTTATTTCATTGTTGGGCAGTTTTATTTCAAAACACTCAAAACAAATCTATGAAATTCGTCAATTTTTACACAAATGTAAAAGAAAAACTCAGCTGACCAATATGTATTGGAAGTTAATGTTTCTATACCACACGCACTTTTACATACATTTCAATATATTGATTCAGACGTAACTGTGATATCATATGTTACTTGCATTACCATAACTATGTCTGACAAGTGCAAATTTTTAATGTTTAATCTACTATCTCTATGCAATATCCATTAAATCAAAGTGAATTTTATTGGTAAACTTTTGTTGTTAATGCAAGAATGTTATTAGCAGCAAGATGCATTTGCGTTGAAATGTGGGTGTGGAGGTTACTGCAGGAAACAAGTCCTCTGGATCAATGTGCACAGTCTGAATTTTCTCTTCATCCAGGCATTTCTTTTTGAGCTCACAGTGTCAATGGTGCTTTGTGCCATTAGCTGCGTTCACTATTATGGACTCTTTAGAAGGGAGACATCACAAATCATCAGGTTAGAGTAGGGTTGTCACCCTCGGGCACAAGCACCCTGGGTGACAACCCTACTCAGACCTTGTTATTTGTGATGCCTCCCTTCTAAACAGTCCATACTTGTATAATATACATGTACTTACCGGGGAATCAGGTCCTGCCACCTTTTCCAGTGCTTTCTCATCCATTTTGTCAGAGTTACTCAGCATAAGCTCCGTTTTCACTATTCCTGGCCATAAGCTGACAAAAGCTACATTGTGTTTCTTCAACTCTTGAGCACAGTCAGCTGCCATTCTATCACACTGTAAACATTATTATATGATTCATCGTAATTCAAAATGTCTAATTGTAAGGATTCGCAGAGATATTCAGGATTTTCTTTTTCCCTACATTTTTTACCAACTCTGCAAGATAAAATTCACTGTATCTTATACTGTACAGGTGTTCAGAGAGTAAGAAGGCAAATAGTTTGTGTTAAGCCCTGATTGGTTCATTCAAAAACTTGTAATTTGATATGCAAAGGGCCATTTTCAACATCTATCAATTTAACAAGTGAAAAAAAAAGAAGTTTGAAGAGATTTACACTAGTAAATGAAATACATGTATAAAAAATGATCAGTTATATTACCTACAGTTTTATCACATTTCAATTTTCAATGATTTGAATAAAAGTTGTTCTAAAGCTTGCATGATCAAAATCATAGATTCTAGACTATTAAAAATCATTGATTTTATGTGTATACATGCACTCAAAAATGCTATGAAAGAATTACAGCTTCTTTTCCAACGCCATAGGGTACATTGAACAAATATCTCAGTCCTCCAACTGAAGAAATATTGATGATCAATCCTTGTTTCCCGGGCACCATGAGGCGGGCAGCATACACAGCACAGAGATAATGGTTCCTGAATTTAAATTTGAAAATTTTAATTAAGAATTCAATCCAAACAATTTTTAAAAAGTGTTTATTCTTAAAACAGAAACCATTACAGATGTTCCAAAAATAACTCTCCTAGATTCCTACTCTCAAAAGGTACCCCATTTCATACAAGCTTCATATTCATGACATATGTAATATATGCATCAACACTTCTCTTTTGATGGCTTATTTTGGCCCTCCCTAGCCCTGACCCCCCAAATGGGCTCAAGATTTAAACAAACTTAAACCTGCACTAGCAGAGGATGCATGCATATTAATAAGACTGATTATGGCCCTACTGTTCTTGAGAAGAAAATTTAAAAAGATCTTTTCTTTACTCCAAAGTAAAACTCTGTTCCCTAATGTGGCACCACCCTATCCATGGAGGCCCTGATTTGACCAAAGTTAAATCTAAAAAGTTTTGTTATATTTGGCCCAATGGTTTTCAGGAGACAATTTAAGACACCCATCCTTTTTTCTGCCCTATCTTATCTCCTATTTCAATAGGCTGTGACCTTTTATTTGAACAAACTTGAATCCCCTTCATCCAAAGACGCTTTTTGGCAAATCAGTGAGTGGTTCTGGCGAAGAAGTCAAAAATGTTAAAAACAGACAGACAGAGTCAGCTCAGGTGAGCTAAAAACATCAAAATACTTTCTTTGCAGTATTAGACCCTAAATAATATTACAAATTTCTTAACATTTATTTTAAACACTAATTAAACATGTTTATATCATATACATGTACAGCAAAATATACGCATTTATTACAATGGACTTTACATGTAAGCAGGTCACCCCTGCACCCCTTCATTCTCTAAAAGCCGTTGGTCTCAGTCCCTTTGTGAGGCCTCAGCTCCATTACCTTTAAGATATACAGAGGGACTCAGACATTAACCTTTCAGCTTAATACCCAATCCAATAGCCAGATCTGTACATGTACAATATAGTAGGAATTGGCTTTTATTATCCTTTATGTACTGACAGTCTGATACATTGGTACATGTACCATAACTTTCATATATGTACCTTAGTCCCACATTGTTCACAGTGTCCCACATGTTGATTGGTTGCTCCCAGTATGGTACTCCTACATTTTTCATAATAGCCTACAAGAATTTAAAAACAGTAATAATTTTATAAGCAAAAGAAATCCCCCACTGTAGTTTTTCATATATGATGCTTTTATAATAATTTATCTTATTACATTATGGTTACATGTCCTTTTGTGGAGAAGAGGATTTTTAAAAGCTTTTTTCCAAAAATTCTAACATATCATATGTACATGTACAACCAAGCATCTCCCAGCTGTGTAAACATGAAGTATACTCAAAATGACAGCCAACTAAGCAAGAAATATACTCACTGTGACAGCCCAGTAAACAAATAGTGTACTCACTGTGACAGCCCAGTAAACAAAAAGTGTACTCTCTCTGTGACAGCTGACTAGGCAAGAAATGTACTCACTGTGACAGCAAACTAAGCAAGAAATGTACTAACTGTGACAGCCCAGTAAGCAAGAAACGTACTAACTTGACAGCCAACTAAGCAAGAAATGTACTCACTGTGACAGCCCAGTAAACAAAAAGTGTACTCACTGTAACAGCCAAGAAAGAAATGTACTCACTTTGACAGCCCAGTAAACAAAAAGTGAACTCACTGTGACAGCTGACTAGGCAAGAAAGGTATTCACTGTGACAGCCCAGTAAACAAAAAGTACACTCACTGTGACAGCCCAGTAAACAAAAAGTGTACTTACTGTGACAGCCCATTAAACAAAAAGTGTACTCACTGTGTGACAGCCTAGTAAACAAAAAGTGTACCCACTGTGTGACAGCCAACTAAGCAAGAAATGAACTCAATGTGACAGCCCAGTAAGCAAGAAATGTACTCATTGTGACAGCTAGCTGCTGAACTGTAGCATTATGGTTTTCCATTTTAGTCTTTGACCATTCAGTCAAAGACTAAAATACAAGACCAAAATGCTACAGTTCTGCAGCTATGTGACAGCTAAGTAAGCAGGAAGTGTACTCACTGTGACAGACAAGAAAATAAGAAGTATACTCACTGAGACAGTTGTACTAAGACAGCTAGGTAAACAAGAAGTGTACTCACTGAGACAGCCCAGTAAACATGAAATGTACTCATTGCGACAGCCAACAAGACAAGAATTGTACTCACTGTGACTGCTGAGTAAGCATTGTTGACCAGTATGTCCAGCTGTCCACTCTGTTCAGACTTGACCCTCTGGAACAGATTTTCCACATCTTCATCCTTGCTGTGGTCACACTGAACTGGAATACATTTACCTCCCCTGCTTTCAATCTGCAAAACAAGATTATAGTTACATGGTAAAACATGGAAAATATCTCCTTGCAAGATACAGACCACACTTTCACATTAATTGCTGCAAGGCATTTACAATTATCAATCTCTTTGATTTGCTATGAAATTCTGAAAGTTGCAATATGTCTATCAGAATTTTGGAGCAGTTCAAGCAAATTGATACAATGATTGTACACACAATATAAACATGTCAACTACTGCCAATTATACCATTCAACCACAGGGGCTGGTAGTATACTATGCTTTGATTTTATGCTATCACCATAATTATATGTGAAAAAAATTTTGAAATAGGAATTTTACATATATTACCCAATTTTAGCGGTTTTGAAGTAGCCCGCTAAAATTTTAATCACTAAATTTGCACTCTTGTGTATAAGTACTGAATACAAGAAGAATAACTTTATTCAGTCTGTTGTCAAATAATATCTTTCTCATCTGGTGTTGGATTTTTTTTAAAATCTCGTCTGAATCAGTATTCAAGTGTATATTAAACATACTGAAAACGCATCCAGAAGGTGAACTTCCTCTACTTTACACGTCAAGGAACTGTGCGTCCGTCAAAATTATTGGCATACCTTTGAGCAAGCAAAACGCCAAATTTTACACCCGCTAAAGAAACCTGTTATACGGTATAGTGATCACATAAAAACAAGCACAGTGTTACCAGCCCCAGTGCAGTAAATAACCCATTTTTTGTGGCATACGTTGTTAGCAAGTTACCTGCATAAGTATCATATAAACATTTATAAATAGACTGATTTTCAAACAATGCAACTCTGAAGAACATTGTAAAATAAGATGCAACACTGAACATGCACAAAAAAGTGTTCCTGTCTACACGTAGTTACCGGTAGTACTTTTGACCATGAATAAGAAGATCTTTTTTTACCTCTTTTGCTGTGTCTGTCAGACAACTTCCCACGGACTCTTCACCTGGGGGTAGTGTTAATGTTCTGCCTGCATAAAAAGTTACAGAGTTTTAATTCAGTAGCAATGTTATATAAATATGTCTTAAAATGTGAAATCATTTTATATCCACTTTAATTATAGAGCTGTTAGAGAATCTTCATGAATGCATGGCATAAACTGTAGGACATATACACATAAAAATTTCATGATACTTTCAGTAAAGTATATGCATGTCTATGGTTTTAATTACCTGTGATGTATACTGTAGCCCCTGCCTCCCCAAGCTGTAAAGCAATACCATGACCAATACCTCGTGTGGCCCCAGTTACAAGACACACTTTGCCTCGAAGTGACATGGTATTTGATCTTCAAGAAAGAGAATAAGGAAAACAGTGTTGAAAATTATGAATGTAGCAACACAATGCAGAGTCAACTAACATTAATTTATAACCCCCCCCCCCCCCCCCCCCCAACTATTTATTTGCTGCTTTTTAACATTTCACACCTCAACTAATATTAATTTTATACATAACAGAACATGAAGTAAAATTTATTCATAAACTTGTTAAGAACAATCATTCTTAATCAAATGCTTCAACATTAAATTGGGCCACTATTCATGCATTTATTTTGCTGTTACAGTAAAATAAACAATCTTGCAACCCGGCCTTAATTCGTTCAGGCACGCAGAGATTCTATTGATGAAAGAGCAATAATTCATCATTGATGTATTGATCATGCATTATTTCCAAAACTTAAATACATGTACCAGTATAACATAGTACAATGAATAACATGTATATTGTATATACATTTGTACATAGCTCACAACAACATTTACTCAATAATCTAAGTTTTAAACAGTACCTGTTAAAATATCTTTTAGCGAGGCGACCTTTTAATATCCTTGTCGATGTATGATTAAACGAAATGAATATGATGCAGTTAAAATTTTCCAGCTTACTCTAGGCCTAACTGTTAGAAGAAAATCAACTAAATGCAGTTTCTTTCAATTTCACGTTGATGTACATGTACCTGGCCGACACATGACTGGAATGTTACGCAACTTCAACAGTGTTCAAGCCTTTATATACATAGTTTCAATAACACAGCAATGCAAACACAATATCATAAACATTTTATACACTTACTTTCAGCGTTTTACTCAAAATGACATCAAATATTTACGTGCAGTTCTAGACTACAGTCTATACCAGATAATACCGTGTTTACTTGTGTAAAATCATGGAAACTTCCGAGAGACACGCAAGTTTTGAAAGCGAAAGTAAAAATCTTTCGGTACATTTCTGAATGTTTCCTGTACACACAGCCATGACAACATGCACAACCCAATTTTTTGATGCTCTGACAAATAAAGACCACGACAAGGTATGATTAAGAAAAAAATATGTAGTATTATTGCTATGACTTTTTTTTTACATTACAAGAGAAAGATTGCTAAAGGTCTCATTAAAATAATGCACCCCTCCAATATTGTATATGTGAACAAATTACTGGGAAACAGTTTCAAAGAATTAGTAAAGCAGTAAACTGGTAAACTTATGATGGCTAGGCCTACATGTATCACATTTGAGTGGTATACTAAAAGTTATATATATTCTTAAAATATAAGGTTGTAAAAGAAAAAAATGCTGTTATAGTGTAGATTTTACATTAGTTCAACGTATATAACACTGTATAAGCCTAACTGTAGATCTATCGTCAATGAAATTACCTCTTGGAAGAGAAAAGTGCAAATCTGTTGTCATGCCTAAACTGGAGATATATTTTTTACAGATTTTGGAATTAACTTCAAATGGATTGTTAAAAATGAAAAAGAAGTTTAACTATCGAAAAAAGAATGGACCTCATGAAGCTGATGAAATGTCAGCCCTCTTACTTACAATCAAGTACTGTTACCGTAAAGATATCATTGAGAAAATGATTGCATCAGGTACATAATTGTCAAAAATTTCCAGCAATATGATGTTTAGTCTGAAGTAATCTTTTAATTTATAGTCTTACTTCGTAATAGCAAAACCTTCATTACAATTTATGTATGTATTTATAAACCTTATTACTGCTAATTCTGATGGATATTTTCCCTTAAATTTTAATGACATTTGGGTCAGTTGAATTTTTACTCTTGGTAAGATAATGATTTGTGAAAATGTGTGCCAGTACATTTAATTTTACAGGAGCCAATGTAAACGCCACTGGATATGAATACTTGTATCCTAATCTCAGCAGAAAGCGGCTGGTAACTCCCCTATATCTAGCGGTTAACAGAAGCTGTAACAAAGAACTTCTCAAGTGTCTGATATCTGCAGGTAAATTTTTGCACCAATTTCTCATGCACTTTGCACTTGTGACATGGACCCCCCCCCCCCTTCATCAGGGGATTGGGATTGGGGGGTGTCCTTTGATGCAAGTGCCTGTATAATTTTTGGCCTCATAAAGTGTGTATCTCTGTCTTCTTGTAACTCCATGTATTAATGACATGTGTTATTTAATGATTTTCTTACGATGTGAATATTTTTTGGCTCAAAACATAAACATTATATTTTGTGGGGAAATATCTAGAAAAGTTATTATGCCCCACTTCGAAGAAGGGAGGGCATATTGCTTTGCTGCTGTCTGTCGGTCGGTCTGTCTGTCTGTCGGTGCACCAACAGTTTTTGTTCATTTTCTTCGTAGAGGTTGTACATACTGAAATGAAATTTGGTATACAGATTTATCATAAGAATATCTAGGACAAGTTTTGTTTTGGGTACGATCAAGCAATTTTTGACAGAGTTATGCCCCTTGGACTTAGAAAAATTCCAATTATTTGCAGTTTCTGATCATTTTCTTTGCAGAGGTTGCACATACCGAAATGAAATTTGGTATACAGATTTATCGTAAGAATTTCTAAGTGAAGTTCTGTTTTGGATATGATCGAGCAATTTTTGACAGAGTTATGCCCCTTGGACTTAGAAAAATTCCAATTATTTGCAGTTTCTGATCATTTTCTTTGCAGAGGTTGCACATACTGAAATGAAATTTGGTATACAGATTTATCGTAAGAATTTCTAAGTGAAGTTCTGTTTTGGATATGATCGAGCAATTTTTGACAGAGTTATGCCCCTTGGACTTAGAAAAATTCCAATTATTTGCAGTTTCCATTCATTTTCTTTGCAGAGGTTGCACATACTGAAATGAAATTTGGTATACAGATTTATCATAAATATATCTAGGTCAAGTTCTGTTTTGGGTATGATCAAGCAATTTTTTACAGAGATATGCCCCTTGGATTCAGAAAAATTCCAATTATTGGGGGGGGGGGGGGGGCATAAGTGTTTCACAAACATTTCTTGTTCTTTTAATGAATTTGATCATTATATGAAAAACTGTTGGATTTGTTATGTCATTGTCAAATAATGATAGTTATTTTTTAATCATAGTCAGTTTTTTCAGTGCTGCCACATTGGTCAACATTTCCACATTTACATTCCTGAAAGAACAAAAGAGCAAGCATGATAAAATAAATGCAGATTTTTATGTCAATTTATTTAAAAACTTCCTGTAATGAATGGGAAGCTGGAACAGAAATAACAGCAGCCTGATTTCAATCTGATAGGGATTGTCCCATAATAACTTATTTGAATTACCTGTATAATTTCCAGGGGCAGATTTGAACAAATTCTCTGGTCAAATAACAGAAAATGAAGAGGAAGGAGGAAGCATGGTGATGGATTCCCAATCCGCCAGTCTGAACTTTGCTCTCCATTCTCAGTACTATGATGCAGAGGTGATAGACATCTTACTAGAGAATGGAGCAGATCTCAATATCAAGAACGATTCTTCATTGCTTCCACTACAAATAGCTACATTATATAATTACAGTGATGCAGTTTTATCACTTGTACGATACGGTGCAAGTACCAGTCCTTCGTCCTACTCTGAGTATTCTCCCCTTGCTCTGCTGTTAGATTCGGCAGAGTTACTTTCTCCTGATGATGAACTCTCTTCAGAGGGCCGTGCAGAAAAGCGCTTTAACTTGTTAAGGTGTGTCCAAATTCTTCTGAATGGTGGATACGATGTGCTCTGTGACACTGAAATGCAGGATTTGTGCCAAAAAAGCAAATGTGGTGAAGAAATGGATGATATTCTGTTAGAAGTGGCTAAAATTATAACTGCCTGGGTGTATCAACCTAAAGATCTGAAAGTTTTATGTAGACTGAAAATTCGTCATAATCTTCAGGTTGTTCAGACAGCATGTAACCCAAAAATACTTAACAAATTACCTCTACCTAAAGCTTTAATTAATTATTTGAATTTGAGTGATTTTGATTAAAGTACTTTTCACTTATTTTGTTTTGTTTGCTGACATTCTGAAAATCTCTCAGCAACTGTTGTTGATGTTGATTACCAAGTTTTGTCCAAGGATTTCTATTTTACCGTCCTAAGTTTTTAATACCATCCACAAGCACTTTTTTCACTTAAAAAAAAAGGAGGGTTCATTGGCTTATAGTGGCTTGATTTTATTGAATTAAAAAATGAGGTCACTCAGGTGACCTATTGCAATCTGTTTTCGTCCGTCGGCGAGTGTCTGTCGGTCGTAAACTTTTGAACATTTTCAGCTTCTTCTCTGGAATTGCAGAATCAATTTCAAGAAATTTTGGTATAGAGCATCTTTGGGCAAAGGGGGGCAACAATTATGAATTTCATGGTCCCTGCCACCCTTGGCCTGAGGGGTGGAGCAAAATCCATAAAAAATCATTTTTGAAAAATCTTCTTCTCTACTCCTGGACATTAAGCAGTCAAACTATTTTCATGATTACAACATACAATTAGAATGAGTCCTTTACCTAAATTGTGAAATTCTTGGCCCCAGGGTCAGGGTTCAGGAGTTAGGGTGGGGCTCTATTGATCACATAGTGAAATTGCATATATTCTTTTAAAATGCTTTTTCTACCCCCCCCCCCCCCATATTAAACAAAGAAACTAAGTGCATTGTTATGATGAACAAAAGTGTCTCTTCTAAAATTGTGAATATCATGACCCCTGGGTCGGGGGTTCTGGTGTAAGGGGGGCGGGGGCTGTTTTGATTATATAGTGAAAATGCATTATTTCTTTAAAAATCTACTTCTTTGCTCCTGAGTATTTGATAGATGTATTAAATGCATGGTTATGATGAGCAAGACTGCCTTTTCCAAAATTTTGAATATCATGGCCCCTGGGTCGGGGTTCTGGTGTTGTGGGAGGGGCCCTATTGATTATATAGTGAACATGCATTAATTCTTTGAAAATCTTCTTCTCTGCTCCTGGGCATTATTTAAACAAACTAAGCACATGGTTCTGATAAGCAAGGATGTCTCTTCCAAAATTTTAAAATCCACGACCCCAAGATTGGGGGTTCTGGTGAAAGGGGGGGGGGGGGGGCTTTATTGATTATAAAGTGAAAAAGCAAAATTTCTTTGGAAACATTATTTTCTGCTCCTGGCTATAAAGCAAAGAAACTAAGTGTATACTGTAGTTATGGCAAGTAAGAGTGCTTCTGTCAGAATTGTGAGTTTCATGGCCCCTGGGTCAGATGTTCTGGTGTAAGGGTGGGGGCTGTATTGATAATATAGTGAAAATGCATTAATTCTATTAAATAATCCTGTCTGCTCCTTAGTGTTGAGTAGATAAACAAAGTGCATAGTTATATTTTTAAAACTTGTTTTTGGTCCCAGGGTCAGGGGTTTTGATGATTCTCCTGGGGGGGGGGATGAAAATGTGTTTTAAATTCTTTGAAAATCTTTAAATAAGTGCAAAAGTTATGATGATAAGGGTACCTTTTCCAAATTTGTGAATTTCATGACCCTGGGTTGTGGGTTCTGGTGTTGGGTAGGGCTGTTTTGAATCTGTAGTGAAAATGCATTATTTCTTTGAAAAATCTCTTCACTGCTCCTGGGCATATTAAAGGCAGACAGAGTAAAAGTTTTAATAAGCAAGGGTATTTTTATCAGATTTTTTAACATTTCCACCATTTTGTCAAGTGTTCTGGTCCTGGCAAGGGCTCTATTAATTTGTATTCTACTGAGAGAAATAATTCCCATTTGCCATTCACTTTTGATAATCAATCATTGTAAATAATGTATTTGAAAGGTTAATAGAATAAGAAAATTATGCAAGAATTTTTATTATATAATACAAAAAGTATTTCCATAGTTTTGATAATCAGGTAGACTTGTAAATAATAGA